TAGAATATTGCTACAACTATCTGTGACTATACTACTGTACCAAAACATTAAAGGATACAATAAAAGTATGAGAAAATTACATGCTCGCATTGCAAGCTAAATATTCGCAAAGCAACTTGCTCATTCCATATACGAACAGGGTATATAGTTGTATGGGTCGTTTCAACAATTGCCCATAATTATAAAAACTAGTACATAATCTATATCCATTAGCACAAAAAAATTCCAGCACTGCAAATCACGCTCATATAAATAATTTCAGAATGGAATTCACTTAAAAATGCAGCCAAGACAACCAAAAAAAATGTTCAAACTACCATATGATACCAATATGGTATATAACTATACCAACATGGTATACAGTTTTACTGGTTAATTCCCGGCAACTATATGACTATACTACTATTACATAACACACATGCATAAAGAGAAAAATAAAAAAATAGTGCACCACATATTAATATAATAAGTATTTCAAGATATTGTACTATATTACTATTATTAAAAGAAAATCAAATATTGTACTAATAAATGCAGCTAATACAACCAAAAAATGATTCAACTAGCATGTGATACCAATATAGTATATAGCTATACTAATAGGGTATATAGTTTGAATGAATTGTATACCAAAATGGTATATTTGTATACTATTTGAGTATATAATACAAATTCGTCTTCTTCTCTTGTTCAACTATATTTCAACCCAAACTTCTAAACCTGCCAACAAGTCATATACCACTACTCAAACTTATTCCAACCTTCAGAACACTCAAAACAACATCAAAATATTAAATCACCCTCGAATTCAAGCCTAAGGATTCTAAAACCTCCGAATTTCGCAAACGATGTAAAAACCTATCAAACCTCATCCGAATAACCTAAAATTTTGCACACACATCACAAATGACACAACGGACCTACTCCAATTTTCGAAATTCTAATACGACCTCGATATCAAGATTTCCACTACCGACCGGAAAACGCCAAATTTCTAATTTCTCCAATTCAAGCCTAAATCTACCACGGACCTCCAAAATATATTCTGAACACGCTCATAAGTCAAAATTTGTGATTACATAAATAACTTCACAAATTGGTAGCAAACTGAAATCTAAGAAATTTTTATTCATTTTTTATAGATCTTTCTTTCTTAACTTTTTTTCTGGGACAAATGATAAAGATAGGAGAGGGAGGTAGATAGATCAAATGTCTTATGAAAAAATATAGGGACATTGACAAAAGAAAGAGAAAGAGCAGAGAAAATGATAGGAGAAAAAGAGAAAAAGAGGAGAAAAGTTAGCTTTAACAAGTCACAATAGGAAGAAGGATTAACGGGTAATTACTTTTAGTTGCAAAGGTACATATTGTAATTAATTATAGAATAGGTAAAGGCGGGCAATTTTTTTGAGCAGAATAGGCATATAGCATAATTTGCTCTAGATAAATACCTTAATTTTGAAAGAGAAAAAACTACTTTGGGCCAAAAAAGAAATTTGACCAAACAACTATTAGACCAGAAGACATACTTTTGCATCATTAAACGGTCCTTACAAAGATGGCCAGATTTCATAAAGCCCAGCATTCCTTCCGTCTTGTCTGCTTGGTAAAAATAGCACGGATTAGTCAGTTTTCGGATTGGTCTTTCAAAAATAGCGAGCGCTTGCAAAGTTATTGAAAACTAGCCACTATTTTGCTGCAATACGAAAAGTTCCAGCATAATATACTAGAGATCAGTGCACCTGTATATGAACTTCCAGCATATTATGCTGGACCGGTATATTATGTTGGAACTCCAGTATATTATGCTGGAAGTCCAGTATATTATACTGGATATACTGGAGTTCCAGAATATTATACTGGAATTCCAATATATTATGCTGGAATATTTTCCGTATTCTGAACAGTGTTTTCGTTCAGATTTATTTTTACATGAAAAGTGGCTAAATTTAAATTACTTTTGAAAATGTAACTATTTTTGAATGACCACTTATAAATTTGGCTATTTTTGAATTTCTCCCGTCTGCTTGTGCATTAAAAAGATACTGTAGTAAAGAGGACGTGATCAAAGGCGTAAAAGGCACTATTTTCCTTTTATATTATATTAACGTGGACACTTTTCTTTTCCCCTTAAAAATCACTAACTACACTAACAATTCCCTATTTAATAATTAATTGATGTATTTATTTTTAAATAATGCAAATACTAGGTGTTTTTCAAATTTTGAACCTATTTTCTAGTTTCTCCCCGGAACTAGATTCAGTTTCGGACTCAAACATCCCACGTTGGGTTAAAAACGCTTTCAAACAAAGACGACATTGTACACAAAACTTTAACCCGAGACCTTTGATTAATGATGAAAAAGTACTTATCACTCCATTACAATCCTTGTTAATTTTCAACCGAAGTCGGTCGGTATGCTCATAATTTTCCAAGATTATCTAAATTTCTAACCGACTATAGACGGAATATTTAAATTATATTTTTATGAATTATTTAATTTTTGGCCGAAGTAGGTCAGTTAGTGTTTTTATATTACAATTTTAAAATAATTTACCGACAGCTCTCGTTCGGAATTAATATTATTATTTTTCTTTTAAAAAAAAAATATACCGACTGACATCGGTCAGTATATTTTATTTCAATTGGGTCGTGTGTCAAAAGTTAGGACGTTGACCAGACAGACAGAAATCAGTCGAAAAATCTAGTCGGTGGCTCTTACCGACCAGTGATTTAGCGTTCTCCGCGTTTCGGTCGGTTTTCGGTCTGAAATAGGTCTTTTTCGACCGACTTCGGTCGGTTTTCTCCAACGAAAATAGGGCAATTTCTAGTAGTATTCCTGAATTATGTGATGCAGTTTGAATTTTTAGAGTTAATCTTCTTAATTTTGATCGTGAATTTGAATATAGAATCTTTATTTAATAAAATTTACATATTTGAACATTATAAGTTACAATGATTAATAATTCAAAATATTAAAAAATACGATTAAAAAAAATTTATTTGACTCTCGAAATCCAAATTACATCACATAAATTAGAAAAAGGGAGCAATACTTTTGAATGCGTGAAAATTCCAAACTTGGTTTAAACGTAAATCTTTCTCATGAACTTGCTATATATGTAGAATTCTCCTTTAGCTAATTTTTTCTAGGTTGATTGGCTAAATAAGTACTCCATATAAAGACCACATTACTAACATCATTTTTCACCCTACTTATAAAGATTATTATGATCTCTATATATCTTAATATCCAAATCTTAACATATATGTTAAAGTTAGGCTAATGTATATATAAAAGATATATCCTTATAATTTTCAGAATAACTGATGGTGCTATGTTCTAGAAATGATTAACATGGTAAGAATAATTCATCATTGATGTCTAAATTATTTTGTTGCAAGGGACTAGGATTGGCCTTCACAAAGAATCTATATTCACTTATGGTGGAAGCAAATTCACATGTATTAATCAAAATCTATTCTCTCCACCTTAAAAAAAAAGCACCTTATTTACTTTTGTTGAATGATTGAAGCAGGTTCCTCGGCGAGGCAATAGATTATCCTTCCATGCACCACATTTACCATGAGGCAAATACAGTGGCGTATACTCTAGCTAGTTACCAAGATCGGTCCTTTTATTTAATGACTCTCTTTAAATTTTCGTCTTTAATTTAAAGTTCCTTTTATTATCAAATAAATTATGATACACAGTTAGTTCAATTAGTTAGCTAGGTACTAGCACGTGTTAGATAATTTGTGACTTACATTTATTGGTATGCCTAACTCATTCTTTGAACAAATACAGCCAACTTAATGTAAATGCTAACAAGTGAATGAATATAGCAAGCCGTAGCTTATCTTTTCTTTTCTTTCTTTCTTTCTTTTTTTTTTTTTGGGTCCAAAAGCAACTAGTTATATTAACTTAACGATTGCGTAGTATAAGGAGCTAAATTTAAGCCTTCAACAGTAGAGGAGCTACGGGGACGACCTCGTGATGGGTCATGTCAAAAGTAGGGGAGGGGGTTTCTGCTGGTACTAGCTAAGTCCCTGAGATGCAAGGGCGGAGAAAGAGTGTGGGATGCTGGTTCGGCCGAACCCAGTAATTCTTGTTCACCATATATTTGTCTTAAGAAATTGATTGAATATGTACAATTTATCAATTTAGAACCCAATAACTTAAAATGATTACAATTCCGAACCCATAAGGTTCAACTCCTGACTCCGCCTCTGCTAAGTTTTGGCATCATATATTATTCGTCAATAATTGTAAAGGTTTATTATATATCCAAAACCAAAAGTGAGATACCAACCTTCTCCCCCCCCCCCCCCCCCCCACCACAAAAAAAATGCAAAATATAAGGGTCAAAAACATACTATATACAACTGTCCTAAAAAGAATTATATATACTTATATGGTTTGCTACAAGGCAGAAGCGGATTTCGAACGGATTTTGTGAGTTCAGTTGAGCCTATTACTTTTAACTTGATATATGTATTCATATTCAAGAAAAATCAAAATATATACATAAAATCACACTCATTCCGAACCATACTTATAGATTTTGATTCTTGAACTCACATTTGCTATAAGTTGAGAACAACTAATCAGGGATTCTGCTTAACTAGGCCTTCATTTCCAGCTAGCATCAAATACTTGTCCCTTCTTGTAAAATTAGTGCACTCAAAACCCAATGCATCAGCCAATTGTCTCTGTATGTAATTAGCCACCTCATGTGCAGACTTCCCACCCTGCCATGTGACAAGGAGGTTACGGGTTTGAGTCGTAGAAACAGCCTTTTGCAGAAATACAGGGTAAGACTGCGTACAATAGACCCTTGTGGTCCGGCCCTTCCCCAGACCCTTTGCATAACGAAAGCTTAATGCACCGGACTGCCCTTTATTTTTATTTCTAGACTTCACACCAGCGCATGTTAGCTCTTTAGGCACCTTCACAAGTATCTTAATAGTGCAACTAGGCCTGGGATTCATTAAGAAAAAGACTGGGTCCAAGCACTTGAATCCACTAGCAGTATTTCCATAAAACATTGTCACATTTGTGTTCACAGCCACTGGTACAATCTCATCAGTTAACTCAACAAACAACGAACTGAACCTCAATAGATATGGTTCCCTGCATGTAGTTCCTTCTGGACAAACCACTAAATCACCTGTTGAAAGATATAGTTAGAAGAACACAAAATAATTACGTCCCTTCATCTCAATTTATGTGAAACTATCTAATATTATTAAGGGAGTCAAGGAAGTTTTTTTTTTTTTTTACCATGTTGTTGTTGGGCAGCCCGATGTTCGGGGAAGGACTGGACCACAAGGATCTATTGTACGCAGCCTTACTCTATATTTCTGCAAGAGGCTGTTTCCACGGCTTGAACTCATGACCTCTTGGTCACATGGGAGTAACTTTACCAGTTACGCCAAGGCTCCCCTTCAAGTTTTTTTTTTTTCCATATATTTTGCAAATACATTTTAAATATTATTAGTTAACTATTTTGACTTAAAGTATTGTTTATGTAGTTTTTAAGTATATATAAAATTTATTTCAAAAAGTTTGAAAATTTTATATCCAAATTTACATTGGAAACTATTGACCCTCGTACTCTAAAAAAATTCACATGAATTGAAACGAAAGGAGTAGGATTTTAAACACTTAAAAATATTTTTTCAAAAGAGATATTCGTGCTCTCTTTACGAGATTGCTATGAGATTGAGAGTATATAGCTATAGTGAATATGACAAGTATTTGAATTTCTACCAAATTCTAACATCACCTTCACTTAGCAATTTATGCATGGTCTCTCTATCTTGTTCTCTATCTCTTGTCAATTTCACAGTTTTTATTGGAGAAATAAACTCTGACATCTTGCTCAAGCTGTAAGTCACTGCTGTCAAAGGTTTCCCCAATAATATACAAAGGAAAACAGGGTCCAAAAGTGTCCTGTGATTGCAAACATAGAGTACACCTTTCCCATTTTCTGATTTTGATGGATCTGTGCCATTTAAACTGAGTTTCACACCACTTAAAGTGGCCAAAAATAGGGCCAATTTGTAGGGCAAGAATATACCAATGGAGATTCTAAAAATTGCTAGAAATATTCCAAGAGGAAACCATATGAACATTGAAAAAGTTGCAAGAGGTGTAGGAAGGAAAGCTAGCCTTCCATCATGAAATATTAGAGGCTTTGGATATTTCTCCCTTGGCATTATTGTTGAGCTTGCACCAATTTTCATGTCTTCTTTGTTAACCACATAAGCTTCCTGTTCAAATTCCAGAAGATACATTATTCATTTTTTTTTCGTAAAAGAACATTTACACTATCGAGTCACCTAAATAATAAATATGGATATTCATGCTAATGTGCATAACAAGTGGGATTGTTAGTAATTTGAAAATAAAACAATTAACCTACTATAGCCTAAAACATGTTTATCACCTTTACGTCGGCCGTGGAAGGCTACCATAAGCCGAGGTCGGCCGTGGCATACCTATGTCAATGGCACGACGTCGGTTGTGGTATGCCTATATCAACTGCACGAGGTCGGCCGTGGCTTGCCTATGTCAATAGCACGTGGCAGGCCACTATGGCATGCCTGTGTCAATGGCACAAAGTTAGTTGTGGCTTGTATAGAAATTAGAGCACTAAGCACCCATGCTTAAAAAATGTAGTGCTATTACAATGTATTTTATTGTACTATCATGTCACCTAAAAGATAATTAGGTAATCATTCAGCATAAGTGAGATTTGTAAGCTAAAAATAAGACAGGTAACGTGTTATAATAAGTTATAATACACTGATAGCGTAAAAAAAAACCATACCTTACAAAAGGAGATAAAGAGATGATCATTAAGACTTGAAGTTCCAATACCAATATCTGGTTTCTTTTCACCAATGAATTCCTTTAAAGCTCTGTGCTTTATAAGCAACCCTGAATTGGATACCAATCCACTAAAGTAATTCCCAATAGTATGCAACTCAGTCCCAATAACATTATCAACATTTAAATACTCTTTAAGAAATCCTTCAACCATTACTCTAGGCACACTAGTAAATACCATCTTTACCCCTACTGAATTTAACACCTCATAAACATGAAGATTAAGATTTTCAAGATAAAATTTGGGCAAAACAGCTCTTCCAACAATATCCATGTCCTTTAATCTTAATCCACAATATGTAATGAAAATCATAACTCTTAATTTAAGTTCAAAATTTAAAACACATAATAAAGGATTTGACAAAAGCAAGAAAAAGGCTCTGAAAATGCTCCCACCTTCAAATGCAACTAACATAAAATATGGGAAAAAAGATTGTGATCTAAGCAAAGTGCCTTGTATATCACATACTAATGTTTGAGATTTTCTACCATGTAAATTACATGTTGTTATATTGGGGTACAAAGGAAGCTGATGGGATGATTTAAAAGATGGTTTCCTGAAAAGGAAGGCAGAGTTTTTGACTTTTATTACAGCTTTGTAACATGAATTAGCTAGAAATTTGTACAATAAGATTGATTCTAGTAGTAGTACTAATGTGAAAACTATATTTTGTACTGGCATTGTCATTGATTATATGCTATAGTGAATAGTAATAAAGGGGAAAGTTTGGCTACAGTGAGAAGAATTTGAAATAAGTTGGAAAGGATGAAGAGAAATGGAGCAGCAGCAGAGTAAATTTATAGGAGTAATTAAAGGGGAAGCTGATCGCTTTATTTGATTAGCCACGCCTCAAGCATTAATTGCCGCCAAAACACAATTGATTCTTCTGTTGTGTCAAAAAATTACGATAAAATAAACGGAAAATTTATTTGGCCACACTAATATTGGCCCAAATGTTCCAAATGGGGGCATTGTGACAATTTCGCACGGCTTTTGAGAGCATCATGAATAATTGGGTATTTAAGTTTTCCATCTCTATACTTTAGCAGATTTTTGTTTCAATTCAAATTTTCAAACAACTCTCTCTCATTATCTTAATTGTATTACCTTCACAAGGTCTCTTTCACATATAAACATGCACGACTACATCTTTTTCCATAAAGCACTCAATGCACATTAAACATACTAACCCAAACAAAATACATTGAAATATACACATAGTACACTAGAGCAAATACGTATACATTTAAATTACTATACTCATCTTGCATTGGTCACTTTCTGTAACGACCTGATCGGTTGTTTTGAGCATTTGCGTTCCGTTCAACCATTTGAAGTGTTGAGTAGCTTCGTATAATGTATTATGACTGGTGTGAACCGTCGGTTTTTGTTTTCAGGTGTTTCAGAATTAGTTCGGAAGGATGAATTTCATGTTTGAAGTTTTAAGTTGGAAGAGTTGACCAAGTTTGGCTTTTTAGTGTTCGACCTCGGATCGGAGTTTTGATGATTTCGTTAGGTCCAAATGACGATTTTTGACTCGAGCGTATGCCCGGAGTTTCATTAGGATATTTCTAGAAGGTTTCGACACTAATTGGCAAAAGTTGAAAATTTGAAGGTTTGAAATATTCATAAGTTTGACCGGGAGTTGACTTTGATAATATCGGGTTCAAATTTTGGTTTCGGAAATTTTAATAGCTTCATTATGTCATTTGGGACTTGTGTGCAAAATTTGGGGTAATTCCGGATTGATTTGATATGTTTCGCCACGAGATTTAAAAGTTAAAAATTTTAAAGTTCATTAAGTTTGAGTTGAGGTGCGATTCGTCGTTTCGATGTTGTTATGCTTGATTTGAAGCCTCGAGTAGGTCCATAATATGTTTTGAGACTTATTGGTATAGTATATTCGGAAGGGGTCCCGTGGGGCTCGGGTGAGTTTCGGGGTGATTTCAGACCATTTCTAGGCTATATTTAGTTGCTAGTTTTTTGGCTACAGTAGAGTGCATTGCCATCGCGTCGAATTGTCCGCGTTAGCGAAGAGTAAAATGGAAAAATGGGCATGTGGATCACAATCACGGAAGGCTTTTCGCGATCGCGTAGAGGATACTTTTGCTGTCATTGACCCGACTTTGGAAGCTTATATCTTGCAATCTATAAGGAATTTGGCGATGATCCAAAAATAAAAGTTGTAGCCCTTTGTATCTAGTTTTTACAAAATCAAACCATTTGGTATTTGGAGTTATGTACAAAATGTTATAGCTATTACACTACATGATATCTAAGAAGAGTATGGGAAGAGTTAATAGAAGTTTGTTCATCGCGGTCGCGAGGAAATGACCGCGATCGCACAGAGTAAAATTGTTCTGGAAAAATTTTGTACTTTGCGATTGTGAAGTATTTTCCGCGATCGCGAAGGGTAAATCCCTGTGCAACAGACTTAAGTTCGGTGTGAGGCGATTTCTCGAGAGATTTTCTAGGAAAACACTGGGTAAGAATTCCGAACTAGATTTTGGTTAAATTACACGAATCAATTGTTATTTTTATCAACAAATTAGTGAATTAGGCTGAAAATGGTTGTCGCGACCCAAGTTCTCCCTCCGTAAACTGTCGTGACGTCACCTAGTCTCTACGACTAGGTAAGCTTAACAAATTGCGGAAATGAATTAAAGATACAAAACTAGCCAACTAACAGGTAAATATAATCAAAGAGTTTAAAATGTCGCTCGGCATATACAATAATAACACTCTCGAACCAAAATATAGCACTCCTAAAACCCAAAATCTCATGAATCATAAGCTAAAGAAATACATAGTGTTCTAACCCAGACGTCTAAACGAAGGAAAAATACAAGAAGTCTATAACTGAAGGGAGAATAGAGAGGGACTTCTAGGTCTGCGGACGCGGCAAATATACCTCGAAGTGTCTGGATCGCCTCGTCTCACGGATAGTATGGTTGAGCAGAACCTGGATCTTCACATAAAAAACATGAGCATGAAAGGGCAAGAGTACACCACAGCGATACCCAGTAAGTGCCAAGCCTAACCTAGGTCAAGTAGTGACGAGATCAGGTCGGGGCCCTACTAGTTATAAATATAACAAGGTAAAACAGTATGAAATGTGACAGTATAATTAAAATACTAACTGTCAATAAAGATGAAATCACAGAAAGAAATAACTCAGTACACAGAGATAGCAATAGGGGATCTCCCAGGATAACGTCTCGCAGTCCCAAACGTAAATGTGCAGAGGATCTCTCGGGATACCGTCCCATAGTCCAAATAGTAAATGTGCAGGGGAATCTCCCGGAATACCGATCCGTAGTGCCAAAGTAAATATCCAGTACATGCGGATCTCCCCGGATACCGTCCCGTAGTTCCAATTATAAATGTGTAGGCGATCTCCCGGAATACCGATCCGTAGTCCCAAAATAAACATGCAGGGGATCTCCCGAAATACCGTTCTGTAGTCCCAAAGTAAATACACAACCAAATCAATATACACAACAGTCTCAAGAGGAAGTCTAAAGTTAGAAGAAGAAATCAAACCCAACATTTGTGGAAGTGTAATTAGACTCAAAACTCGCATCTAGCTTGGATATAAACCTAATTCCAATTATTAACTGTATGTGGATTCGATCCCGACCTAGTTAGGTTAAAACTGCATCGACCACCCTCTCTACTTAATAGTAGTGTAGGCTTGGACCCGATCAGATGCCTGATTGACTATGTTGTAGATATAAACCTGAGTGGTGGTGTGATTGAATACATTATTATTACGATTAGTCCAGAGGTGCCATAGGATGATTGGTACCATTATATGTAATGGCACATTTTTGGGGGGAAAGGTGGTGTTTGCTCAAAAGTTATCACATACCTTATGAGTATAAAACAATATAAATAAATCACGGAAAAATCATAGCAAACCCTAATAATCCATGGGACCAAAGGAAGGAAACGAAAATATATACTCAGCATTAAGAGGAGAAACATTAAAAGCCTTTATTGATAATGTTGATTTGGTCTGCCTCTCCATGAAGAGGTTCAGCGCCTTACAATGATGTTTTTTCTCTCCCATAATATGTGTCTCGTTATCTCTCTCTCTCTCTCTCTCTCTCTCTCTCTCTCTCTCTCTCTCTCTCTCATCAATAGTTAGGAAGAAGCCCCCCTTTACTAGGGCTTCCTCTCTTGGTATTTATAATTGTGAGCTTCGTGAGCTGGCAATAAGTGGCCGTGACCACGTTGGGGTTTCGCCTTCATGATGACGGACGGGCCGTGGCCTTGTTGATCGAATCAGATAAGGGTTGGATACCGTTAATTCTGAGTGGTCATCCACTAACCATTCATGAATTAGCTTAAGACGGGATTACCTTCGTTAATTATCGTGGGGTCGGATTCTGACCTATACAGTTAGTCGATGAGTGGATTTCATCGACTGTAGTTTGAGAAACTCGGATAGGGAGGTCGACTATCGCTTCGGTCGAGGCCGAATTCTCTTTGGCGATGACCCTTAGCCTTGTAGAGTGTCAGTGTTTTGTTATTGTGTTATAAAGTCGCCGTTCGATCGAGGTTGGACTCTCCTCCTTGGCGAAGGAACTTGACCCTTTAGCTTAATTCGAGTGAGGTCGAGCTTTGTTATGCTCTGATCCTTACGTTTGTTTGGGAGCATACCCGTCGACCATGGCGGACGGATCGTATGTTGTGCGGCCGAGGGGAGTAAGGGCACGCTCGATACGTGTTTGGCGACGTCCAAAATTTTGAGGGCGCGCGGAACATCTCCTCACCGTTCATAGGTCGTTACAACCATTTCGAGGGCGAGACGCCGGTTGGCGACTGAAAAGCTGCTTCATGGAGCTTGTCATAATGACGCACGTTTCTGTAGAATCGAACCGGTGTGCGGTTGGTCATGTAGTTAATGGTGGCTATTGGGGTTCATGAAAGCCACTTGCGTTGCCTATAAATAAGGGCTGGGGTATTCATTTTTTATATTCTCATTGTTTGTCTGAGAGAGATTCTGAAGAAGCTTTTCTTCCTGCTAATTCACCTTCATCTTTGTTCTTCGATTGGCATAGCTTCCGTCTTCGTCCCTCAAACTTTGTTTCTTTCTCGTTATCGAATCAACAATGGCAGGCAGTTCTTCCCAAAACGTTCTTCCGACGGATCTTCCGATTAACTCTCCAGTGACTGAAGAGCCATCTCCGGCAATGGGCGGTGCAGAACTGGTGGAGACCGATGACGCTCCATCGGTTGACGAGATAGTATCTCTGCCCGGAGGTCCGATGACTGATTTCACCGTCGATGGTGGGGAGGATCAGGTGGATAAAGCCCCATTAATGAGGGAGATTGGGATGTCCCAACTACGGGGACAGGGGGTCATCCCCAGCTATGCTGACGTCATTCTCGCTAGAAGCGAGGAGAGGGTCCACACCGACCGTAGGGGATACTGCGTCTTTTACGCCTATCCCTTCAAGTTGGGGTTTAAGCTCCCGCTTCCAATGCTAGTGGTTGATTTCTGTCGTTACTACGGGGTATGCCCGGGTCAGCTTGCTCCTTCCCTTTACAAATTATTAGCGATGCTTATCAAATATGCAGAACTGGCCGGTAGGGAGGCCACGCTGCAACATGTGCTTAGCCTCTACGCTCCCCAGAGAATTTGTGGTACCATGATTCGAGCGTGCCCTCGCGGGACGAGG